GACTACTCTAGGTAGCTTACTTAAGTAGAATCGTATAATATTTGTCTTTTCGTGATGAGGTTATTTCACTTAGCATAATGTCCTCAGGGTTCATCCATGTTGTAGCATGTGCCAGAATTTCTTTCCATTTTAAGGCTCAATAATATTCCATTGTATGTATGTACCACATTTTGTTTATCCATTCATCAGTGGATACTTGAGTTGCTTCTACCTTTTGAACTATTGAGAATATTACTGCTATGAACGTTGTTGTACAAACATCTTTTAGATATATTACTGAGAAGTAGAATTACTAGACCATATGGTAATTCCATTCTTAATTTTTTTGGAAACTGTCATTCTGTTTTCCACAGCAGCTGCACCATGTTACATTCCCACCAACAACGCACAAGGGTTCTAATTTCTCCACATCCTCACCAACATTTGATATTTTTGGTTTTTTGGTGGTAGCTATCCTAATGGGTGTGAAATGGTATCTCATTGTGAATTTGATTTGCGTTTCCCTAATGATGAGTGAGGTTGAGCACCTTTTCAAGTGCTTGTTGCCCATTTGTATGTCTCCTTTGGAGAAATGTCTGTTCAAGTCCTTTGCCCATGTTTAAACAGATTGTTTGGTTTTTGTTGTTGTTGAGTTGCAGGAGTTCTTTATATATTCTGCATATTAACCCCTTATCAGATATATGATTTGTAAATATATTCTCCCATTCTGTGGGTTGCCTTTTCACTCTTTTGATTGTGTCTTTTGATGCACAGCATTTTTAAATTTTGCTTTAGTCCAAATTTATCTATTTTTTCTTTTATTGCTTGTGCTTTTTGTGTTGTATTTAAGATATCACTGCAAGTCTAATGTCATAAAGCTTTTCTAGTGTGTTTTCTTCTTATAAGTTTTATAGTTCTAGCTCTTCTCTTTAGGTCTTTGATCCATTTTTACTTAATTTTTGTATATGGTGTGAGACACAGGCCCGACTTCCTTCTTTTGTATGTGGATACCCAATTTTCCCAGCACCATTGGTTGAAAAGACTGTCTTTTCCCTATTGAATGGTCATGGTGATCATATATATGAAAATCATTTAACTGTATATGTGAGAGTTTATTTCTGGACTCTATTCCATTGACCTTTAAGGCTGTCTTTATGCAGGCTTAAGGTACCACACTGTTTTGATTACTATAGCTTTGTGATAAGTTTTGAAATTAGGAAATGTGAGACCTCCAACCTCGTTCTTTTTCAAGATTGTTTTGTCTGTTTGGAGTCTCTCGAGACACCATATGAATTTTAGGATGGATTTTTCCATTTCTCAAAAAAAACACCTTTGGAATGGTGGTAGGGATTACATTGAATCTATAGATCACTTTGGGTTGTATTGACACCTTCACAATATTAAGTCTTTCAGTCCATGTACATGGTATTTCTTTCCATTCATTTGTGTTATCTTTAATTTCATTGAGCAACATTTTATAGTTTTCAGTGTACAAGTCTTTCACCTCCTTGGTTAACTTTATTCCTAAGTAGTTGATTATTTTTGGTGCTATTTTAAATGGAATTGTTTTCTTAAGTTCCTTTTGGGTTGTTCGATGTGTATAGAATCACAACTGAGTTTTGTGTGCTGATTTTTGTATCCTACAACTTTGCCAAACTCATTTGTTAGTTCTAACAGCTTTTTTTGTGGAATCTTTACAGTTTTCTACATATAAGATCATGTCATTTGCAAACAGATAATTTTACTTCTTCCTTTCCAATTTGGACACCTTTTATTTCTTTTTCTTGCCTAATTACTCTGGCTAAGACTTCCAGTACTATGTTGAATTTGAAGTGGCAAAAGCCAGCATCCTTGTCTTGCTTCTGATCTTAGAGGAAAAGTCTTCAGTCTTTCACCATTGAGTCTGATGTTGGCCGTGTGCTTTGCATATATGGCCTTTATTATGTCGGGGCAGTTTCCTTCTGTTTCTAGTGTATTTTTTTTGTCATGAAAGCAGATGTTGAATTTTGTCAGATGCTTTTTCTACATCATTTGAGATGATTATGTGTTTTTTTCTTTCATTCTGTTAAAGTAGTGTGTATTACATTGATTTTTGTATGTTGACCCATCCTTGCATTCCAGAATCTCTTTTCATTTTTTTAATAGTGTCTTTCAAAGAGAAGTTTTTAGTTTTTATGAAATCCCTTTTATCAGTTTTTTTAATGGATCATGCTTTTGGTGTTGTATCTGAGAAATATTTACCTAACCAAAGGTCACAAGATTTTCTCCTGTGGCTTCTTCTGGAAGTGTTATTTATTGAATTAATTTTTGTATAAGATAGGAGATATGAGTCAAGATTCTTTTTTGTGTGTGTGTGGTTATACAGTTGTTTCAGCATCATTTGTTTAAGAGACTATTCTTTCTCCTTTGAATTGCCTTGCATCTTTTATAATTATCTTCATTTTGATCATTTCCAGATACTTTTGTATCTTCACATGATCTTCCCTGTGTATGTCTGTGTCCTAATCTCATCTTCGTATAAGGACACCAGTTATATTGGATTAGGGCCCACCCTAATGACCCCATTCAACCTGACTTCTCCAGATATAGTCATATTCTGAGGTACTGGGAGTTAGGACTTCAGTGTATTAATGGGCAGAGCAGAGTGGGGGGAGGTGGGGCTGGGGCGGCACACAATTCAGCCCATAACACAGAATTTAAAAAACCAGTCAGAAATGTAGAGATCACCTAGGACAGCACTATCCAATAGAACGTTCTGTGACGATGGAAAGTTCTATATCTTTGCCGTCCGGTATGGTAGGCCCTAGCCACGTGTGGCTACTGAGTACATGAAATGTGCCTAATGGAACTGAGAAGCTGAGTTTTCAACTTTATTTAATTCTGAGCAATTTAAATTTAAATGGCCACATGCAGCTAGTGGCTGACATTTGGACAGTGCAAATCCTGACTAATCTCCATTTGACATATGAAGAACTAAGGATCAGAGTGGTTGAAAAACTAGTCCAAGATCACACAAATAATTATTGAAATAATTGTGGTGTAGGCTGAGTTCTCAATGTTTTAATAGACTTTGCTACCTATATAGATTATAAAATAAAACCTAGAGAAATAAAATATAAAACACCCTCATTTTTGTTCTTTTTCCTGCTCTAAAGGCATTTGGTAATCTTACTTTATAATTATGAAACTTTCAACAAATCAATTTTGTAAATATTCAAAATCATTTTTTCTTTTTAATTTTTAAAGAGTTTGATATTTGCTTGTGTAAAGTGTTTAAATTTCTTTGTAGGATTTTTGTTGTCAGATTGAAGGGCCCGTTTAAGTAAAACTCATCTCTGTATCAGAAAAATCGGTGGGTGGTTTGAAAACAAAATCTAATTCTCTTAGAGCAAGTGAATTGGTGCCTGCTTTGCTCAGAAAATCTGCATCTGGAAAACCATCCACAAAAGAAATAGAAGGAGCTTTTTTTTAAAGATGGAAATGCGGTGTTAAGTTAATAGCTTAAACTTACTGTTTGATTCTGTCCTTTCATGTTTTAGTGAAATATTCTCGGTAAACTTTAGAAAATTTTTTAACTTTTCATTTTAAACTAAATTTATAGAGAAATTTATAATTTTAAATTTATAGAAAAATTACAAAAACTGTACAGAGAATCCTTGTATACCTCTCACCCAGCTTCCCTTGATGTTAACATCTTACATATCCATAGTATAATTATCAAAACCAGGAAATTAACATTCTTACAATACTACTAAGCTACAGATCTTAGTTTTCACCAATGTCCCTTTTCTGTTCTAGGAACCTACCTAGGATCCCATATTTCATTTAATTATTTCTTTTTAGTCTCCTCCGTTCTGTTTCTCAGTCTTGTCTTTTTTGACACTTGTGAAGAGTACCAATCAATTATGTTGTAAAATGTTCCTGAGTTTGGGTTACATAATGTTTTCTCATAATTGGAATGAGGGTCATGCATTTTTGGCAAGAATACCACAGAAATGATCTTATGATGCTGATGTGTCTTACTACTGGTGATGAGCTTTAGAAATCTTGATGATAGAAACTAGACTTTCTTTTATGTAATATATATTAAAATTACCATAAAATGTCCTTCCATCAAAGTATTTGCTCTGTGATGCAAATGGCTTATTAAAATTAAAATACTGACTAAAGAAGGCTATTTCATCACAAGTTAGTTAATGGGATGAAGTTAGTAGAATTTCACTAATAGGAGTAAACTGTTCACTAATGAGACTTTAAATGAGGCAATTTTTTCTTCATTGGGAAGTAACAAAAGGAATTTTCAAGAGAGGGCTCTTCCTAACTAATAGAATTGTCCTTGTAATAGCAAGTTGTCTTGGTTGAGATACTTAACTCTGGGCAACTTATAGACTAGAACATTAAGTGAGGAAAAAGAGATTGCTTTAGTTTTGTTCTTAAGTGATACTGGAATTCTATCAGAAATTAAGTCATTATAACCAGTTTCTAGATGTAGGCTGTCATATGACCTGAAATCAATTTATTGCAGCAAATTTGTGTATTTTGGGCATTTTAAAATTCTGAATAAGATGAAATAATTTCAAAAGACATACTATATTACATGTTGTTATTGACATTGAAGTGCCCGCATATGTTTCATATGAAGGAATGAAATTGTACTTCAGGCTTTGATGCTTTTAAAAATATAGTACATTTTTAGGTTTTGTTTATAGATATTTTTCAGAATATAATATTTATTCCTCAAAAGAGAATGGATAGAAACTCTTCTGTAGGTTCCTGTATCTGTCATAATGAAGGGAACTATTCCACATTAAGCCTACTACTTTGGTACTTTTTATATTTCTACACTTGCTAGGTTTTCTTCACTAGGAACATTTCAATGAAATATTAGTGCTTTTATTCTTTTTGTGTTGTCTTTGAAACATTCATGGACTATAAAACAAATAATAGAACTGAGTACTGCTGTCCTTTTAAAGTAACAATATTCAGGGTAATGGATAGAATTTTCTTTTCTTTCATTTTAGTTCAGCAATCAGCAAACACTGGGAGGCTGAACTGGCCACCCTCAAAGGAAATAATGCCAAGCTCACTGCAGCCCTGTTGGAGTCCACTGCCAACGTGAAACAATGGAAGCAGCAACTCGCTGCATATCAAGAGGAAGCAGAACGTCTGCACAAGCGGGTAAGTTCAGTGCTGCTGTCCATAGGGATTTGTGGCTAACGGATCGCCTTCATCAGAGGAAACTGCAGCACAGACACATCTGGAGATTTTTGTTGGTTGTCAGAACATTTATAGGGGTTGTAGTGTATGTGGCTTTATTGGTTAAGTATTTTCCACAGTTTAGTGAGAATGAAGAATACACAGCTTTTGGAGTCGAAAGACCTGATTTCAAATTCCTATTCTGCCGCTTATTAGCTGTATGACCTTTGTAACTAATTCCCCTCTTTCTGCTCAGTATTCTCATCTATATAGCAATAATAATATAAACTGTAAATTCCTGTGGAAATTGAGACACTGAATTGACATGTCATTGCACTGAGTTCATGATAATGCTTTTATTATTTTATTCTATTGTTTTCTAAAGAAAGAACAATTTGAACAATATAGATTTTTTATAAAAGTTGATAATAGAAATAAGGAGCAGAAAAAGAAAAATCAGAAATCCTAATATCAGAAGCCCAAACAATTACTTATAAAGAATTTTTTTTATTCAGAGCATGTGCATTCACCCAGCAGGAAGCAGATGCCACTAATTTCCCTTTTAAAAAGGAATACCATATAAGAATATGGGTAAATATTAAAAATTTTTTCTCTTGGGGCTGGCCCCATGGCCGAGTGGTTAAGTTCGCGCACTCAGCTGCAGGCCGCCCAGTGCTTTGTTGGTTCGAATCCAGGGCGCGGATATGGCACTGCTCATCAAACCACGCTGAGGCGGCGTCCCACATGCCACAACTAGAAGGACCCACAACGAAGAATATACAACTATGTACTGGGGGGCTTTGGGGAGAAAAAGGAAAAAAAATAAAATCTTAAAAAAAAAAAAAAAAAGGAATACCATAGAAGTGACTGCATAGACAAAGGGCTCAGGACCAGAGCACAACTGGAGTGTAATAGGAGCAGAGTGACAGGGGAAGTAAGGTAGAAATGGAATAGAGACAGGAGGGAAAGCAAGAACCCTGAGTAAATATTATTCTATCCTAAGTATAAAAGTTAACTTATAAGGGGGAAGAGGGAATTTGTTGTTAAATGAGTGTAGTTTCCATTTTGTGAGATGAAGAAGTTCTGGAGATCTGTTTCACAGCAGCGTGAATATGCTTAACGCTGCTGAACTGTACACTCAAAACAGTTACGATGATAAATTTTACATTATGTGTTTTTTACTACAAAAAATAACCTTATGATAATTAACTCATAAGCCAGTAAATATTCGTTGAGGAGCTATCATATCTCCTTTTTGTGTAATCTCTGCCCTCAAGGAATTTTTTCTTTAAATAGTCCATTGAATTTTAAAGAATTTAAGAAATGAATCTTTTTATTTACTCACATGTTTATAATTTCCAGTGCTCTTCTTCCCTTCCTGTAGATTTGAATTTTCATCATATGTCGTTTCTCTTCAGCATGAATAACTTTCTTTAGTATTTAGTTGCATACTAGCAACAAATTCTCCCAGCTTTTCTGTATGGTTGTCTAGAGAGATTTTTGTCTTTACTGTAGGTTGCGTTTTTCCTATTTGTTCACCTCTACTCATTTTCAGCTGTATATGGACATTATAGATGAGATGATGGAGCCCATAGATTCTGTTATCTTCCTCTGAATAGTGTTGATTTTTCTTTCAGCAAGCAGTTAAACTGCTTGTAGATTACTTAGAGTTTGTGGAGGCATGGACTTATGCTTTACTAGTTGGTTTATTTTTATTTTGCCCTTAATCCTATGGTGAATCCCTTAGTCCTGGGAAATCTTTATTTCTAAGCCATAACCCTTCTGGGGTTTCAGTGGGAAGCTTAGGGTGTTTACCAGGCATTCAGATTTGGTGGGGCTCAAACTTCAAACTGTCTTTTCTGTGGTGAGCACTACCACAACTTAGCCCTTTCAGCCTTCCAGCTTTTTCCCACCCGCCCGGACTCCTTGGCTTCTTACCCACGCGTGTTCACTTCAGGGTTCAGCCTGAGATTTTGAGGGAAGTCTGTATGCTTATTTGAAGGCTTTCTTTCATACAGTTCCCTCAATTTCTAGCTGTTTCAGCTGTTCTGAAGAATCCCCAAATTCTCAGGCTTCTCAGGGACATGAGACCACAGGTTTTTGCTTGAGGTCTGGTCAGCAGTTCAGACAGACTCAGAGTGCCTTCAGGCAACGAGACGTTTAAATGTGTCTCACCCAGTGTGACTGCATTCTTTGTCTTTTGCCCAATTTGTTCACTCCCCAGGGCCTTCAAACAGTTGTTTTATACATTTTGCCCATGATTTGAATTGTTATCTGTGGGAATGTTAATCCAGTAAAAACTGCTCCATCATTATCAGAAGTGGAACTCCTCATAAGTAATTTATTATCTAATTGGACAAAGAAAACTAATATATGTTAAATAATAGGGAAATAATTCCCAAGGTTTTGGAAGAGATGTCCAGTTTTGTGGACAGAGGGTAGGGGAGTCTGGAGGGCTTGAGTAAATAGGAATGGCTTTCTGGAGAAAGTATGTGCTGAGCTGAGAGTTGAGGGTTTGGTAAAGTCTGAATGGTTTTCAGAGGTAAGAGAGGACGATCAGGTTAAGTCAACAAGATGGATGTGAACGTGGTTTGTTCTTAGGACAAGGAAACTTGTGTGCTTTTAGTTGGAAGTACACAGTGAGTGTCTTGGGCAATGAGGATGCTTAAATAGTTTGGGGCTAGTATATGGAGGAACTGAGGGTTTCGATTTGATTGTAGAAAAGAGGAGCAATTGAAAGCTTTGAATGGAGCCATCACACAATGAGAGATGAATGTTAGCAGTTGCAAAAGAGATAAAAATAGACAAAGGTTCTAATTAAGTCCTCTGGCCAGGCAGGCCATTGCTCTTTGTTTAGGCCTGGATGATAGGGGTCTGCACAAGGCTGGTAGTACATGAATAGAAAGGAAGAAAGTGATAGGAGAGGTGGAGTGACAGAAGGTGGAGGGTATTTAGATATTTGAAAAACGTGAGGGAGAGGGATTTGCTCTGTTTCTTTAATAGTCTAGAATTTACTGTATTTGAGTCAACTAAAACGTATGCCGTCCTGATGTGTGCAAAGAGCTGTGGTAGGGTATGTGTGTGTGTTTGTGTTGACTTCTGTTTGACTCTTTGGGGATGATATGACTTTAGGGACAATGTGCTTCTTTGTTTTCTCAAAAAATATCAAGTGCTTATTAAAAGTTGTTTTGCTCTTTGGGCCCTCAGTAAATTGTTATTGACTCAAGAACTGTTATCTTTTGCCATAACAGACCCAACTGTGTGAAGTCATTCTAGTATGTAATGATTTAAGTTGTGTTTTAAGTATATCTTTTCTTCCAGATTCTCTTACATTTTGGAAATGTATTTGAAAAACTACTCGCTTCTGCAAGGCCAGTTTTCAGAACTCATATGTAATTTGAAGGCTACAGATGGAGGGCAGATGGCTATATCTGATTTTGAATATGTTTTCAGAAGAAATTTTTAAAGAAGACTTTCATTACAGGATTCTCGATTGTCATTAACCACTTAATTTAAGTTTTAATAAACTTTTCATGACCAAGCCACGTAAATAATTATTTCCTGTTGTCTTTTTTCTTTGTCATAAATTCATATCTTTAAAGAATCTATTCATTCTACCCTGAGTGTCTTAATATTTCTCAAAATTAATTTTCATATACGGATTCAAAGTTCATTATTCACCTATCAGGGGCTTATTATATCTTCAGCAAGAAGTCCTTTGAAATGGTCAAATAATTTGTGTTCTCATTTAATTTTAGGTGACCGAGCTTGAATGTGTTAGTAGCCAAGCAAATGCAGTGCACACCCATAACGTCTGAAGTAAATCAGACGATACAGGAACTGGAAGAGACGCTGAAAGTGAAGGAGGAGGTATTTGCTACTACTCACTCGTCTTCACTCTAGTTACTAACGTGTATAAAGTGTTAGAGTCTGTGTCAGAGTTAAAGGCACTTTGTGGAATAAAGTGAGGTGGTGGGGGTTTTTTAGGATGAAATTTTTCTTGAGTGATATTAATCTGGTTCATATTTCCCATCTTTGTTTCTGTTGTTATGAATTATGGTGAGGCCATCAGACTGTTACACCGCCTGTTGTTGCCTTCTGGATGAGAGTTGCATTAACACAATCGACAGAAAACCATTAGAAGTTAAATGAATTTTACAAGCTGTTGCTTTCTCTGGTTTCCAGTCAAAAGATTTAATATACCAGGAAAGAATTATATCCACAAAGCGTGAAGCAACCTTAAAATGTTCAGATTGTTGTTTCTAAGCAGTGCTATATCAAAGCCACCAAGTTAGACTTGTTGCTTGTTTCTTAAGATCATTCTGTACTAGACAACATATGTGTAAAGATGAAGTCACCTCTCTAAAAGTCAGTATAAAGGGATGTTTTCTAAAGCTTTTATTGTTTTCAAACGACAGGGACAATAATTTCAGGGAAAAATGAGGCTTTCTCTTTCCTTGATGTAGTTTAAATGTTTGTTAAAAGATTAATCTACTTTTTTTTCTACTTTTTCTAGGAAATAGAAAGATTAAAACGAGAAATTGATAATGCCAGAGAGCTGCAGGAGCAGCGGGACTCCCTGACTCAGAAACTGCAGGTGAGCTGTGGGACCATTTGTGTTCATTTCTGCGTTGAGACATATCAGGCATTCTTTCACATGGTAATGGCTTTGTTTCTGAAACTCCGCTTTGTAGGTTCTTGATCATTTTTCTTTTCCGGGACTTCTGATTCATGCCTGATCTTTGATTTTTCGAAAATTACTTGATAACTTCATCTAGGTAGCTTATGATCATCATAGGTGATCATTTTAAAATTGTCCTTGGTAAATTATTTTAGAAATTTCTACTGTTTAACATAAAAAAATACCTTGAATTTAAAGAAAATTTCTCAAATGGATTTTATTCAGTTTAGGAATTCTCTTTTTTTTTTTTAACCCTGAACTAAAATATGGATTACAGCAGTAATTCATGAAATGAATGAAATCAAGTTAGTGCTCTTTTTATTTCTTCAGTCTAATTTTACTCACATTTTGATGCATAGTATACTTCCTGATTCTAGTCTACCTGCGAATATCCTGTGTCAGTGGTAGTCACCATAGTTAGGGATGACTTTTCAAAATTTGATACCCAAGTTTCCTCCCGCCAGCTCAGGCGCTTTTCTTACAGCCCCATGGCTAGCTGCCTCAAGAAGGGTGAGGACCACTTGAGGGTCAGGAGGAGAAACAGTGTACGTGTAGAATGAAGAATTTGGGGTCAGGGGTGATAAGTGGGACCTGAAAGCCCAGGATTGGATGCATTTAATCCATGTAACAGTCATAAGAGGAAACTGAGGCTTGGATAGGTTCGCTTATCCAACCTGTATTTAAATGGAGACAGTCAAATTCTATGACAATAGAGATCCTTCATAAAGAAAACTTTCTTTATATGAAATGAAACGTGCTCTTCCATCACTCGCTTTCAGTAGCTTGGGAAAAATGAGGTCACTTATTTTGGTTTGCCCTATTAGATGTTGTTTCTACATTTTAATCATCTGCGTAAAATAGTGGTTCTCAACTGAGGGCAGGTTTGTGCCCCAGGGGACATTTAACAATGTTCAGAGACATTTTTGATTTTCACAGCTAGGACTGTGCTACTGATATCTAGTAGGTCGAAGCCAGAGATGCTGCTAAATAGTGAATTGTCCAACCCAAAATGTCAGTCGTGCCAAGGTTGAGAAACCCTGCTGTAGAACTAAAATATGAAGCATGAAATCAGGGCTGGAAGAGGTGAGGGAAATTCACTCTAGTTTTGTCTTTTGTTTATTTGGTTTCGCTGCATTTTTTGAGTCTTGCTATGATTCAGGCATATGCTAAGCACTTACATAGCTTAGTTCTGATTCACACAGTAACAGGTGTGTTATCCCCATTTCAAAGAGAAGGCAGCAGTTCAGAGGTGTTAACAAGTTTAATCAAGGCGCTTAGCTAGAAAGTAGTGAAAGCCTGGATTTGTTTCCATTCCAAAGTCTTTGTTCTTTCTGCATTACCACACTGCGTCCAAGCCATCCCTAACAATTCTTTAAAAAAATTTTTTGTTGTATATACATTTACATTGTCCCAGAGAAACCAAGAGATGGATTTATTCATATTAAGCTTCTAAATGTGTTTCATCATTGATTCAGCAGTAATTGAGTTTTACAGCCCGCACTTGGAGTTGTGACTATCCATTCTTACCTGTTCTTTCACTGAATATCAAAAATACTTATCAAAACAACTTACCTGGAAAAGGACAAGGAATCTTTGAGAAAACCTAAAGATGAATTCTAAAAGGCCAAGCCAGAGAAATAACTTCTGTTTTTTTCCAATTGGAAGAAAGTTTCTCCTCTGTAGCCTGGTCCCTGCCACCTAAACATCTGTTTATCATAAGTCCTGACAGCCTGAACCTCCATTCATGAGTTCAGTCTAGAAAATTGAGATCATTAAATCCCTTGAATGGTAGAGGAACTTCTGTTATTGCACTGCATTGAATTGGGTTGTAGGTATGAACATGGATAGAAAATTCATAGTTATGGGTAAATTAAGAATAGTATGATATAATTTTTCTAATTTCCAAGGTGTTTTTTTCCCATATACTCATTGTAAGAAATTTAGAAAAATATAATTTAGCAAGTTAAAAAAATGAACCATAATCCCATCATCCGAAGGCAAGGCAATTGGCATTTCCTTCCCCCAATGTTCATTTGGATAACTTTTCTTTACATGAGATGTATAGATACCATTTCTTTATCTTGCTTTCCTAACTTGACATGTGTCATACGGCTGCATAGCATTCTCCTAGGTAGATGTACCAAAGTCTTCTCCCCCCATTCCTACAGGGATAGCCACTTATGTTGTTTCCTGTGTTAGCTGTAATAAATAATGTCGTAATGAATCTTTTTACGTAAATCTTTGCCTTTCTGATTATTTCTTTAAGATGAACTTTCAAAAGAGAATTACTTGGTGTCCATGTTTTAAGATTTCTTATGCTGAGCAATTGGTATCTGGATAGGCAGGATACCCACTGGATATTGGTCTCCCTCCATCTCTTTGCTGTCTGATGGGGAACAAAGGGGTTGCTCACTGTTTTTATTATTTTTATTTTTTGATTACAGGTAGGACTGAATAGTTTTTGATATGTTTATGGTCATGTATTGTGTGTGTATCTTGAAGGCACCAAGCCTGTTTTCACCTTAGAACACATGGAATATCCTTGCCGGAGTTCTAAGCCCCCAGATCTTCAAATGGGCTGGTTCTACTTGTAATTTAGGTCTTGGCTCACATGTTAACTTCTCTGACTTCCCAATTTAAGCACTGCTCTGCTGGTCTCCAACCCCTACTCCTTGTACTCTTTGTAATATTACCATGTTTTATTTTCCTCTAGTACTTACTGTCCTATATGAAATGATCTTTTTCATGTTTATTTTATTTTATTTTATTTTATTTTTTTTTAAAGATTTTATTTTTTCCTTTTTCTCCCCAAAGCCCCCGGTACATAGTTGTGTATTCTTCGTTGTGGGTTATTCTAGTTGTGGCATGTGGGACGCTGCCTCAGCGTGGTCTGATGAGCAGTGCCATGTCCACGCCCAGGATTCGAACTAACGAAACACTGGGCCGCCTGCAGCGGAGCACGCGAACTTAACCACTCGGCCACGGGGCCAGCCCCATGTTTATTTTATTTTTAAACTATTTATTTTGAAGTAATTTGATTTACAGAAAAGTTGCAAAAATAATGCAAAGATTTTTCATATACCTTTCAGCCACAATCCCCCAAATGTTAACATTTTTGCCATATTTGTTTTGTGTTATCGTTCTTGAACTCTCTCTGTATACATGCATATGTTTTCCCTGAAAGGTGTGAGAATAAGTTAAAGATATATCTCTTTACCTCTGAATACTTCAATGTGTATTTTCTAAGAATACAGACATTCTCTAACATAAACATCAAAATCAAGAAATTATCTATCTAAAGACTATTCAAATTCCCATAATTGTCCTAATAATCTCCTTTATAACAAAATTAAAGAATTGTTTTTCTGGTCTAGGATTCATTCCAGGGTCACATGTTACATTTAGTTGTCATGTGCATTTATTTTGATGTTCGCTTTGTCCCAGATTTGGCCAGTGGAAACCCCTTCAGTCCAGCCTCTGTGTCCTTTGGATGTGACCCCATGATTCTTTAAAGAACTTCTTTATGTTTTAGCACAACTACGTGTTCCAGGCTCATCTTGTATTTTCTCAGCTCCAGCCTTGGCGTTCTCTATTTCTCCAAGGAGAAATTTCTTTTAGCAGAGTTTGGTATTTAGAAACCAAGATCTGGGCACTAGATGTACTTGTTGCTATTGAGATGTCATTGTTTCCAGGCCCTCTTAATAAACAGAGCTAGAAGTACACACATACCACATTATGTTCATTTTAATAGCTATATAAACATATATTTTTTTAACTGAATTCATACTTATACCTCCCATTGCATTCCAGTACTGTGGAGTTCATTCTAGCCATGCCCATTTTCATGTTTGTAACTGCTTTCCACAATGTTAAGAAGCCTGATTCCCATTATCCACAGTATATTACTGACTTGCTCAGTCCAAGAAAGCACAGAAAGTAGTTTCTGAATTGCTAATTCATACCACTGCAACAAAACAAAACAAAACAAAACAAAAAACCTACTAACTAGAGATCAGTGTAATTCCTTTTGTCCTCAGCCTATGTTCAAAAGTTAGTTGGGTTAGTTCTTCCACTCTCCTCTTCAATTGGTTAGGTTATTCATTTGAAATGCAATTATGTTAATTTGTGTCATATTGGATTCCGTTTTAGTTTCTTCTTTCCCATACAAATTTATTTTATGTATGTATGTATTTACTAAGTATAGGAAACATTAGCATGGTTCCAAAAGTTAGAACTATTCAGAAAGACATTTTCAGAGAAGTATCATCCCGTTCCATCCAGTCTACCGCACTTTCAGCCCCATCCTTCCCATTCCATTCCTGTCTGACCCCTGTAGGTAACCAATCTCTTTAGTTTCTAGTTTATCCTTTCTGTGTTTCTTTTTATGCAAATGAATAGATATATCTATTTTTTTTATTCCCTCTCCTCTTTATTTTGTTACACAGATGGTGACATACTCTACATTACTCTTCTGCACTTTGCTTTTTTCACTTAAGATATATCCTAGAAATCACTCTGTTGGTTCACAGAGATCTTGTTCATTTTTCATAGCTGCATAGTACTTCATTTGTGTGTGTGATAGATTATTCAACCACATTCCTATATATGCGTATTTAGGTTGTTTCCTGCATTCTGCAACAGTACTGCAATGAGTAATCTTGTGCATAGATATTTTGTTATTGTTGGAGGTGTATCTTCAGGGTAAATTCTTAGAATTGAGATTTCTAAGTGAGAAGGTAAACACATGTAGTTTTGTTAAATATTGTCAGATTCCACTCCATAATGGATTGTGCCAATTCTCCCTTGTACCAGCAGTGTAAGTGAGTGCCTGTTTCTCCACAGCCTTGCCAACAAAACGTATTCTCATACTTTTTCACTTTTGGCAATGTGATAAATGAGAAATGATAATTTTAATT